TACAATACCTATGCATCATAAAAAAGGTTGATGTATTCTCTTTATACCTTTGTTCAATACTTACCAGATATAGTACAAAAGGTTGTTGATTCATTAAGAGTAGAGAAAAGGTCGTCTTCAGAATTGCAGAATAACTGCTCATTGGCAACAGATGAAATGTAAAATATGATATCTGAATTAAATAAAAACTTAAATCAATTTGTAATTGATCTGACTATACCTTCAAAGCAGTATGTAATTGCAGCATAGAGAACAAATACAGTTGGGAACTTGCATCTATTAAATATGACAAAATTTAGTTATAGCATCTTGTATATGATAGATATTACATTATTTTGTAACGAAATCCAGCAATGATAAAAGTTATAGAGGAAATGATTAAATCGAACCCAGCTACCAATCCTGAGAGCAGTAACAAAGCATTTTTATTACTATAATGACTCCATCGACTGCAAATGGGATAACAGACTCCAAATTCAGCATTGTAGTAAAAGTCTTCACTGCAGTTTAAAGCACTGGTGCTTGGTCCAGTGTTTATCAAATTAGTTCTTTTGCTATGTCTCTATTATAGATATTGGTGAATGCAATATGGTTTTTGTGTCTTACCTCTGTGAAGTAGAGTATAATGGGAACTATTAGTATACCAACACTTCCAAGTAGTAACAGAACTAGGATCACTGGTATGATGGATCTCTTAGCAGCAAGGGCAATCTTGCTTTTTACCATCATTGGAGGCAGTGATTAAGGATCAAAGGTCAATCAGCAACTCTTATAACTGAACCAGCTGCATAGTTTATGCTGTACGTGCATGTGGGTGTATGTTTAATTAAATACTTTTAATTTGTATCCATAATTAAATAACAATGATGCTAGTCCATCCCCCATTGTAACATGATGACGTTATAATGCCAACAAGTATTTATAAACTTGTCTCCTTTAAAAAATAAACAGAAATAGCTTCTGCTTATGCCGGCATGCATCAATAACTGACCAAAAAATCAGTACTCCATGCAGACATTGATATCAGACTTACCTAAAGTGCTTATTATTAAGCACTTTAGGTATGTCAATCTGAACTATGTAAGTTGTAACTGCTACATGATGTTGAACAATAGATAATAGTATAGTAAAATACTTTTAAAATTAAATTAATTATCATATCAATCTCTCAGGGGGTGGTCCAAATGGTAACACATTGACATTGCTATACATTGTCAGAGTTAGCAGTACCAAAACCTGTACATATACATCTAGCATGCATAGTAGATCAAGTAGATATATTAGTTATTTTGAAGAATTCTCTTCTATACAATTTTGGCAAAACTTGTGCTGCGACCGTGACATTGACATTATTTTGTCAGAGTTAGCAAGACTATAATCAAGTAAATCATTTTTACATGAATTCACACAATAAACTAATTATTTCCCTCCATTACTCACAATAGTTATTTTTAGTCATCGTCTATAATGGAATAATTTGTCACCTTTCCTTTATAATGATACAGCTTGCGTACACAGAAATTGGCTACAGATCTCCAATTGACAACATAAATGAGGATAATGATCGTAATAAAGCCCATTAGGATGTAAGTACTTGCAGCCAGTGGTACATAGTTGTACTTTTCATAAGTTGTACTGCAATTATAGTTGTGGTGTGTTCCAAATGCCTCACACTCAAAGTATTCTGCAACACTGTTCACATATTTATCTTGAGTTGAACTGATTACACTGAAATAGGACATCATCATCAAACCAAACAAACTATAATATGCCAAAAAGAATAATAGCTTCATCTCTGCTAGTGTCATTTTTAATGGAGAGTTCCTTTTGCGAAAGAATATATTTTGATGCTATGGACAAAAATTTAATAAAATAATATTCGCATATTTTTATGGTTACTTTTTGCAGCCTCCAAAAGACCAGTACTAGGCAGCAGACGCCAATAGCAAGGAGTATATTAAGAGGAAAAATAAGTGAATAGTAACGCAAGTTGCTATTTCTAGGCACGCAGAAATAAGTTGGCATTGAATAAAGAGCATAACTTCCCCAATCTTTAACCAACAGTGCCAGCAGTACACCAGGAACAGGAAAAGTCACACCTTTTAATATTCAGCATAACATACACTAAATCATAATCCCTTACCCAGTATCAGTAGGACGATGTGTATGAACTTGTCTTTGTCCTTATGCGTTTTAGCAAACACTGGAAACATTATCTTGTAAAATATCGACATGACATGGAAAAACCACCAAAGAGTCATATTGAGAAAGAAGTATTGGAAGACAGCTCCTGAGGAACAAATGCAAATACACACATTTATAATTATGAATATGTACATGTACATGTATACCACTGGTACATGTTCATATTATACCTGTCACTTTGCAGTAGGTTGTTGAGTTGCTCTTATAAGTTTCCAAAAGATCTTTGGAGGTACAAAAGAGGCTATTAGTTTTGTCCAATTTAGGAATGATTACAAAAATAGCTAAAAGTGATCATTTGGAATTGATAAATTAAAAGTGTCATACTTTCACTTACCCACCACACAGACACCAATTGTCAAATAAATCAGAAAAATTGACGGAAAAATCAACCTAGTCAACTTCATAATACTAATAAAAATAATTATTATGAACATACATAATTTTCCTCCGAATAAATGAAGCTATTAAGACAATAATTCCCATAAATAAAACAAAAACAGCTACTGCTAATTGTGTATCTGTTTCTATCTTTGCATTAAGTTCGCTATAAGTTTCATAAGAACCACATATGGGACGGCAAGGCCCTGACCCATTGTGTTGATAAAAGTCCTCAGAACAATGAGAAATGTTTAAAATAGGCATGTTACCAGTGGATGAGTTTATAGGGATGCCTATGAATATTAAATCGCATTAAGTTTTTAATATTGATGGTTTTTTACCTGATGAAATAAAATCAGAGCAATTTGGTGTTTGTATTCCATTTTCATAAGCATAATCCCATTCTGTTGCACACACATCTGTACTAACATAACTACAAAACTCTCTTGATGGCAAATACTCCTCTCCATTTGAGCAATTACAAAGTGGAAATGAAAACTGACAGACAAACATGGTACCAGCTATCCTACAGTCTTCTTTGACATCAGGACTTTGCAATGCTTCTAATAAAAACTTGGCTTGTTCCTCCTTGTTATTCTGATCAGATGAGGAACTAATGAATATGTCCTCATTGTATCCAATGGTACAAGACTGCCACTTGCTGAGAAATGCTTTACAAGTTGACCCTATATAATGGACTGGTGTACATGAGTCAAGATTGCTTGAGACAGTTTGTGCTAATGTGTCACAATTGGATGGCTCTTTCAATCCATAAGCTGAACACTAAAATAAAAGAAGGAAAATAGATATGAATGAGAGAACAATGTCCCTGTATGCAGTATAACGCTAATGTCAGCTAAGCATTGTTAACTAAACCAACTGCTGGCAGCGCTGGGTCATTCCTGTATAATGCATATGGTGTGTTAAGCACATTACCTTGGCCTCTTTAAATGATGAAGATATACTCTACAGAAATAAAAATTAAAATAACGATAGTAGCAACACCTCAAGCTTCTAAGTAATGCTATAGTACTTATCATCAGATTATCTAATTCAAGTCATAGCTTATCAAAACAGGAGTACTAGTCGATTTACTCATATGAGCATAGATATCTATGATATGAGGAACTTTGAACTATGAATTGAGCCCATCTTATTTGCCATGAATAAAAATGTTGCATATACATATGCATGTACTCACCTCTTTAATGTGTATTCCTATGGGTACAAGGAATAGTGCCACGAAAAAGAGGAGAACAGTTATCAGTATTGCAATCTCCAGGAACTTTGCTAGTCTTGAGGGCATCAAACAGCAACCACAGAACTTTATTCTATCAACTTGGGTGGTTCTACAATCCCAAGAATTAGTGTCCTTTTCATTCTTTGATCCTCCAGTGCTTTCAAAACCAGCAGCAGCAGTGGTTGAAAGAGACATCTCAATCTTTTCACTGTTGTCCCTATTCACGACAAGAGGCTGCTTGCTATTACTTATAGAGGGGCTATCGCTGTTCACAGTAGCCATCTTGGTCTAATATCTAGTGAAGAAGAGAATTAGAGCCTGGGTCTACAAAGGGAGGTGTGAGCTTTGAGGAGAGTGTTTAAGAAATTGATACACAAATCTAATGATAGAGCCAGAATAGAAAAAAGTTTCTAGAGATAGGTATTTGTATAATGTAGACAGACTTACTCTGTACTAATCTAACAGGGCAGCAAAAAGTTTCTGTGCAACTATGGAGCTCCAGCATGCAGCAACCATAGATAATAGAGTAAATGAAAGGGATTGGAAACGGAGGCGTGGGCGTAGCCCAACCTCCATTCATTTGTATTGCTGCTAGGCTGACAGAGGCTCGTTGAAATTTTTTGTCACAATTTACCCTTGATTTTCTTTCTTTTAGGAGCAATATCTCGCAAACAAGTGTTCCTATGCAAGTGAAATTAATGCATCAAGAAGCCTAATGTTTCCTCTTTATAATTCTGTTTTCTATTGTACAGATAATTTTACCATGTTAATGTTATGGCACTTTTAAAACCATAAAATGTATTTTTTGCCATTATAATCCCTTTTTTGAAAACAAGCTAGAGTAAAATGCAATATCTTTATAATCATATGAAAGAGTTTCCATTTGCATATCGAATGATACTAGTTAGGGTTAGAATCCATGAAGCATGAGTTTGTTACTACAGAAAAAGGGCGGAAAATGAAAAAATTTTGTTGTACCTATAACTCGTTGCAAAATAATGTTGTAGAAGTAAAAACCTTGCTGCAGGTAGGCCAACACTTTCTATATCGAACGGTAGGTATATCATAAGTAAGCGTCCTCTTGGATCTCCATAAATATCCTTCGAAGTCCTTCCAGTACAGCCTCACTAATGGAGGAGATGGGAAATCAACCAGGTATTGGGCCGGTAACCAATAGCAACATCAACCAGCCTACGCCCCCGTTTCCAATCCCTGTGTACTCTAATATCTATGCAGCAACACCCAATTTATAGCCACGCCTAGACAGGAAGCGTTTACACCCACACAAATAATTATTACTAAGACAACAGCGCAGTCATTAATCATTATACAATTTTCACTCAGAATTATGTTCTATATATGTGTCCAGATTTGTTCTGGTGTATTTTCTTCTTCTTCGAATTGAAAGGCAAAAGGTAGCAACAGCTCTCCAATTGCAGACGTAGACAAGGATAGCAGTCGTTACAAAACCCAATAGTAGATAAACTACCACTGAAAAATATGGATAATCGTATTTTTCAAAATCCATAGGACACTGATCATATGATGACACATTAGGGTGAACTCCAAATGCTTGACACTCAAAATATTTTTTAATTCCACTTTTGTATTTATCCCGAGTTGCAGTAGCTGCACCAAAATAAGCTAACGAGACTATACCAAATATGCTAAAGAATACCAGAGTAAATAACAGCTTTATTTCAGGCAGTGAGATTGGAGATGACTTCCGAAGCAATGCAGTTCGATGCTACAAAAGATATTGTAAGAGAAATTGTGTATAAAACTATAATTGTGATTCGTCACTTACTTTCTGCAGTCTCCAGAATATTAAAACTAAGCAAAATAAACCAATGCCAAGAAGTACATTGAGTGGTAAGAGGAGAGCATAATACTGCAAGTCGGGATTTCTTGGAACACACACATAAGAGGGGAATGTGAATATAGTATAAGACTTATACTTATTAACAGTCAGTGCCAATATTACACCAGGAATAGGAATTAAAATACCTTTAAAAGAGAAACCAAGGTTAGAATAGTTACAATAAGCATTCACTATACCTAGTATTAATAAGACAATGTGTATAAATTTGTCTTTTTCCTTATGCTCCTTAGCAAACACTGGAAACATTATTTTATAAAATACTGAGATGACATTGAAACACCACCAAAGTGTCATGTTTAAGTAAAAATAGTGAAAAATAGCCCCTGTTGGTATAAAAGATTTGTGGTTTAAAGTTAGTATTAAAAGGATGCATATAGTACCTGTTACTTTACAGTAAGTGGTTGGATGATTAAAAGCTTCTAAGAAATCTTCAGAGGAGCAGTACAGATGTTTGAAGTCAAGTATTGATACAAATATGAATATAGCTATACAGAGATTAAGGATGTTAGGAATGTAATGATATCCAGGCTTACATAGTATGCACAAGCCAATTGTCATATAAACCAAAAATATTGATGGGAATGACAACCTATGTAGATACAACAAGTTAAAATTAAAGCAGTTAATTATACTTACATTACTCTCCAGCGAATGACAGAAACTATCAATACTAGTATTCCAACAGATGAACTAATGATAGTTGCAATTAGCTGAGTCACTTGTTGTGTCCTTGCATTTCTTGGACTATAAGTTTTAAACTCTCCACATTGAGGACGACAGGAGCCATTAACACAACGAAATCCATCAGACTCAGCACAAACGATTGTACTGCAGTTTGAGATAATACTACTACTGTTATCTGAATCACCTACATGTATTAATAATGCATAATGATATTGAAATTAACTAATTTAAAGAACCTGTAGAAGGTAGTTCTAAACAATCTGGTAAAACACCTTGTCCAAGAATGCTAATAGCTTCTTGCCATTCAGCACTACAGACTTGAGTACTGACGTAATTGCAAAATTCTCTTGATGGTAGATACTCTTTTCCAGTTACACAGTCACACAAAGGGAATGAGTACTGACAAACAAACTCACTGCCAGCAGATCTACACTCTTCACTAACTGAAGAACTTTGCAGTGCTTGTAATACAAAGCTAACTTCACTCGTCATCAGCTTTTGGGATGAGTTAATATAAATGCCATCAGTGGCCCCAATAGCACAAGACTGCCACTCTTGAAGATAACTCTTGCAGGTTGAACCAGTATAGTTTACAGCTACACATGACGCATTGCTTGCAATACCAATAGACTCATCCTCACATGTTGATGATCTAGCACCATAGCCTTGACACTATAGAGTTGTTATGTGGGAGAGAAAGTGAAGGGAGTGCATATCAAAATCAACTATGAAATTCCAATACACAATACATAAAATAACAATATTATGTTATGCTTACTTGGCCTGACACTGGATGAAATGACCCATTAGTTGTATCAAGGGAACTTGAATTTGTCGACAGTTCCTAGAGAAGGATTTCAAATGGTAAATATTATTAGCATCATTGAATTGATGGGAAATGACATTGATATTAAAGCAGAAATTTTAGCTGCACTAGATATAAAATGCTTATACAGAACCCAAATCTATAATCTTACTTCAGATATATGAACTGCCACTGGAACAAAAGACATAATGACAACAAAAAGAAGTATTAGCATCAGCAGTATGATTTCCAGTGGCTTAGCTATTTTTGAAGGCATCATGCAACAGCAGCCACAGAATCTAATCTTATCTTTAGAGGGTTTGAAATGCCAAGCACCATCTGGCTTCTTTTCAACTGGTGGATTGGTGGCAATAGGTGGGTCTCTGTCTTCTACAGAGTGAGACAACTCAACCTCCTTCTTCTCCACCTCAGAAAGAAGCGGCACTCTCTTGCTATTGACAGATGCCTCAAAGTACATCGTCATTATTCCAGAAAAGAGCTAGAATATAGAGCAATGTCTGCCTCAAGGAGAAAGAGCTGCTTAGCTAGCACTGATGAACCAACCCACCCATGAATAATACTAAAAATAATTAAAATCATAGCCTGCTTGACCACTCACTCATGAAATTCTATCAACAATTACACTTTTAGTTATAAAAACAGTCACACAAAAATTATCCAGAGTTATGTTCTATATAAGTGTCTAGATTTGCTTTGGTGTATCTTTGTTTTCGATAACATAGCTTTGAAAGACAGCTACATACAGCTCTCCAGTTGCAGACATAGATGAGATTAGCAGTAGTTATAAAACCCAATAGCAGGTAAACTATCACTGCAAAATCTGGATAAGTATATTGTCGAAAATCTGCAGGATCACATCGTTTGACATTTGGATCAATTCCAAATGCTTGGCATTCGAAATATTTTTTGATTCCAGTTGTGTATTTATCCTGAGTTGCAGTAGCTGCACCAAAATAATATAGAATGATTATACCAAATATGCTGAAAAATAGTAGTGTAAATAACAGCTTTATTTCTGGTAAAGCAATTGGAGATGATTTCCGAAGCAATGCAGTTCGATGCTATGAAAAGTAAATAGAGCAAGAGAGCAAGAGAGAGAGAGAGAGAGAGAAAGGTCATGAAACTGAGAGTATATACTGAATAAATGATCCAGCTTACTTTCTGCAGTCTCCAGAATATTAAAACTAAACAAAATAAACCAATGCAAAGAAGTACATTGAGAGGAAGAAGGAGAGAATAATACTGCAATTCACCATTTCTTGGAACACACACATAAGAAGGGAATGTGAACAAAGTATAAGATTTATACTTCTCAACAGTCAGTGCCAACGATACACCAGGAATAGGAATTAAAATACCTTTAAAATAGAAACCACAGTTAGAATAGTTACAATAAGCATTCACTATACCTAGTATTAATAGGACAATGTGTATAAATTTGTCTTTTTCCTTATGCTCCTTAGCAAACACTGGAAACATTACCTTATAAAATACTGACATGACATGAAAGAACCACCAAAGTGTCATGTTTAAGTAAAAATAGTGAAAAATAGCCCCTATACAAGAAGTTCATGATTTCATTAATCTTTAAAAAGTTAAATATATATACCTGTTACTTTACAGTAAGTGGTTGAATTGTTAAAAGTTTCTATCAAATCTTCAGAGGAGCAGTATAAATCTTTAAAGTCAATTACTGATACAAGCACAAATACAGCTATACAGAGATTAAGGATGCATTACAAATAGAAATGATATCCAGACTTACATAGTATGCACAAGCCAACTGTCATATAAACCAAAAAGATTGATGGATAAGTTAAGCTATGTAATAAAATAAAATTAAAGGAAACAATTAATTATGCTTACATTATTCTCCAGCGAATAAAAGAAACTATTAATACTATAATTCCAACCAATAGACTAACAATATTTGCAATTAGTTGTGTCACTTTATGTGTCAACACATTCTTTGAAGCCAAAGTTTGAAACTTATCACATCGAGGGCGACAGAAACCACCAATTAAACTAAATCCATCAGATTCAGCACAAACAATTGTACTGTTTAAAGTAAAATTGCTCGTGATGCCTATAAATGAACAGCAAAATTAATGTGTAAATCTAAAATAATTTCAGTATAGGACCTGTAGAAGGTAGTTTTAAACAATCTGGTAAAACACCTGGTCCAAAAGAGCTAATAGCTGCTTGCCATTCAGCACTACAGACTTGAGTACTGACATAATTGCAAAGTTCTCTTGATGGTAGATACTCTTTTCCAGCTACACAGTCACACAAAGTGAATGAGTACTGGCATAAAAATTCACTACCAGCAGATCTACACTCGTCACTAACTGAAGGATCTTGCAGTACTTGTAATAACCTGACTTTACTCTCTAGTTTTTGGGATGAGTTACTGGTAACGTAAATGTCATCACTGGTCCCAATAGCACAAGACTGCCACTCTTGAAGAATACTCTTACAGGTTGAACCAGTATAGCTAACAGCTACACATGAAGCATTGCTTGCAATACCAGTAGACTCATCCTCACATGTTGATGATCTAGCACCATAAGCTGGACACTAAAAGTGGGTCCAAAAAAGAATTGTTATATGTGGGGGAGAAATTTTGTATTCCCTTTACAAAATAAACTATGACATTCCAATTCATAATGTTTAAAACAACATTCAGTGCTTATTTGGTAAGTAAAAAAAGGCAACTATTAATGCTTACTTGGCCTGACACTGGATGAAAGAGTGACTCATTCTGTAAACCAGAGCTTGAATTCCTGGATGATTCCTAAATAATGTCACACACAGTAAGGTATAACTGATTAATCTATAATGTCTTACTTTATATACATAGTGTACTGCAACTGGAAAAAGACACATAATGACAACAAAAAGAAGTATTAGGACCAGCAGTATGATTTCCAGTGGCTTAGCTATCTTTGAAGGCATCATGCAACAGCAACCACAGAATCTAATTTTATCTTTAGATGGTTTGAAATCCCAAGCACCATCTGGCTTCTTTTCAACTGGTGGATTGGTGGCAATAGGTGGGTCCCTGTCTTCTACAGAGTGAGACAACTCAACTTCTTTCTTCTCCACGTCAGTAAGGAGCGGGACTCTCTTGCTATTGACAGATGCCTCAAAATACATTGCCATTATTCCAGAAAAGAACTAGAGTATAGTAATGTCTGTCTCAGAAATTTTATACCTTTGCTGACCTAGATTATAGCTAGTAGCTGAGCAGCCACGCCCGTGAACAAACCCACCCATGAACATTAACAGTAGATCTATAGTTATTATAAAACATAGCTACTATAATTTTAACTCACACACAAAGAACAGTACAGCAGTAATACAAAATTATTTAGAATTATGAGCTACATTGATAGTATATTCATTTTAAAGTGTTTCGTCTTCGATAACATAGCTTTGAAAGATAGCTACCTACAGCTCTCCAGTTGCAGACATAAATGAAAATAGCCGTTGTTATAAAACCCAATAGCAGGTAGTCCACTGCTAAAAAGTTTGGATAGGTATATGGTTCAAAATCCTTATCACATGTGACGTTAGGATGAACTCCAAATGCTTGACATTCAAAGTATTCTTCCAGTCCAGTTGTGTATTTATCTTGAGTTGCATTTGCTACACCAAAATAAGCCAACGTGATTATACCAAATATGCTGAAGAATAGTAGAGTAAATAACAGCTTTATCTCAGGCAGTGAGATTGGAGATGACTTCCGAAGCAATGCAGTTCGATGCTGTGAGAAATACATTCAGAAAGAGAGAAATTGAGTGAGAGAGATAGATAAATTCTAATAATCTGCTTACCTTGTGCAGTCTCCATAATATTAAAACTAAGCAAAATAAACCAATGCCAAGAAGTACATCAAGAGGAAGGAGGAGAGAATAATACTGCAATTCACCATTTCTTGGAACACACACATAAGAGGGGAATGTGAACAAAGTATAAGATTTATACTTCTTAACAGTCAGTGCCAGCAATACACCAGGAATAGGAATTAAAATACCTTTAAAAGAGAAACCAAGGTTAGAATAGTTACAATAAGCATTCACTATACCTAGTATTAATAGGACAATGTGTATAAATTTGTCTTTGTTCTTATGCTCCTTAGCAAACACTGGAAACATTACCTTATAAAATATCGACATGACATGAAAGAACCACCAAAGTGTCATGTTTAAGTAAAAATAGTGAAAAATAGCCCCTATATGAAAGATTAATGATTTAACTTAGTCTAAAAGGATGCACATATATACCTGTTACTTTACAGTAAGTGGTTGGATTGTTAAAAGCTTCTATCAAATCTTCAGAGGAGCAGTATAGACCTTTGAAGTCCATTACAGATACAAATACGAATACAGCTACAGTGGTTAAGCATGGAGTGCACAATAGGAATAATAATGATATCCAGGCTTACATAGTATGCACAATCCAACTGTCATGTAAACCAAAAATATTGACGGAAAAGTTAAGCTATAAAATTTTTAAAATATTCAAAGGAAATAGTTAATTATACTTACATTATTCTCCGGCGAATAAAAGAAATGATCAATACTATAATTCCAACAGATAAACTAGCAAAATTGGCAATTAGCTGTGCAGCTTTTTGTATCAATGCATTCTTTGGTGTATGAGTTTGAAACTTATCGCATTGAGGGTGACAGAAACCACCAATTAAACTAAATCCATCAGACTCAGCACAAACAATTGTACTGTTTGAAGTAATATTGCTCGTGTTATTTGAATTACCTATTAATAATGGATAATAATATTGAAATCTCATCAAAGTAATTTATCAGTAAAACCTGTAGAAGGTAGTTCTGAACAATCCGGTAAAACATTTTGTCCAAGAAAGTAAATAGCTGCTAGCCATTCAGCACTACAAACTTGAGTACTGACGTAATTGCAAAGCTCTCTTGATGGTAGATACTCTTTTCCAGTTACACAGTCACACAAAGGGAATGAGTACTGACAAACAAACTCACTACCAGCAGATCTACACTCTTCACTAACTGAAGGACTTTGCAGTACTTGCAATATGCTGAAAAGTGTTTGGGATAAGTTACTGGTAACATAAATGCCATCACTCGTCCCAATAGCACAAGACTGCCACTCTTGAAGAATACTCTTACAGGTTGAACCAGTATAGTTAACAGCTACACATGAAGCATTGCTTGCAATACCAATAGATTTATCTTCACATGATCTATTGAAAGCACCATAACCTGGACACTATAGGGTTGGGAAAATCAACTGTTAAATTCCAATTTATAATGTTTAAAACAACCGCAACATTCAGTGCTTATTTGGTGAGTAAAAAGAGGCAACTATTAACACTTACTTGGCCTGACACTGGATGAAATGTTGCCTCGTTCTGTAAACCAGAGCTTGAATCATTAGATGATTCCTAGAAAAATCCCACAGTATCTATGGTACCACACTGCCATAACTTATAAATCTATTAGACAGACTACTGATATCCCAATAATGCCTTACTTTGTATGCAATATGTACTACCAAGAGAGATAAAGAAATAACGACAACACAAAAAAGGATCAGCACCAGGAGTGTGATTTCCAGTGACTTAGCTAGTTTGGAAGGTATCCGCATGCCACAGCAACCACAGAATCTAATCCTCTTCTTAAAGTTTATAGAGGGATTGAAACCCCAAGGATCAGCTGACTTCTTTTCAACTGCTGCATTGGTAGAAAACTCTACCTCTTTTTTCTCCGCATTAGAAAGCAGAGGGACTCTTTTGCAATTGTCAGACGACATGGCTATTGATATTCCAATAAAATGGATGGAAGATGGGCAGCCACGCCTGCTTGATCACCCACGCAGTGTTAAATTATTTTCTAAATACATGTACAAGTCTAATGGCTGTAAGTGATACTATATGCTAATGCTATAGAATGTCTTTTCATTTATGAGCGTGGGGTCGTGTGTGGGCGGTTTGTAACAGATCCAGCTGTCATTCCTCCAGACGATCCATCAAATGACTTCTCCAGAACCCTAGCAACTGTACAGGAAATTAGAGAGAAAGAGAATAAGAGAAATATTTTCATTTGAAGTACCAAAGCTTTGAGCGGAATAGGATCTTGGTGAGAAGTGTATCGATTGCATTAGTGGAGTGACAGGTCTGCTCAATGGTGTACCAACAGTATGACCAGTGGCACCATTGGGAATCTATAGTGTAGAAGAGAGGAAAGAAAGGGCAAATGAATGGAAAATAGCAGCAACAAAACCAGACAGTGATTAACATTATAAAATAAAGTTAAAATTAATGAGAATACATTTTTGTTAGCAGCTTAGTATCTCCTTAAATTAATTTTTATTCCTTTCTAAAGATGACAGGCCCAGCTAAGCTGAACAACATTAAATGCTTCACCTTGTTGCTAATGTAGTAGCTTCTCAATAAATCTTCACCAGAAGTTACTGAGAATTCAATCTCATCTTCATCACCATCAAGAACATCAGGATCATCCTATAAATAGTAACGGAATAATGACGACATCATTAAAACCAGTAAAAATAGTAACACATTCACACTGTACAATAATTGACCTCTTCTTCTTCTTCGCTTTCATCTTCTCCGTTTTTAGTTCCTTCGACGTCTAAAATAAAATCTTATTCTTTACAATCTCAGTTTGTCAGTCCTACCATCATTATCACTTGATGTCGATCTTAGCCTGTCCAGTATAAACTTCAGTTGACTCTGGAGTTCAGGAGGATTCACTCTCATGGCTGAATCCAATACCTCACTCATATCCTAGTAAAGCAATGAGCCCAATGTAATGATCATAGCACCATGTTAAGAGTATTTATTAGACAATTTGAAAGTCTCAGACATCAGGCTGTTATCTTACCATATCATTAGCTGCTTGACGTATTTCAGGTAACTCCAGTAAACTATACAGTATACCATTGATGTACGAGCGGACCTATAATATTAAAAAAGAAGCATAATATGGAACGCTATTGTTTTTACAAAGATGGCTTGTTTTTTTAAATGGTCATAACTTTAAAACTATTTGTCAGAATCAGTTCAAACTTGCTACATACAATGTAGCATAAGTACATCAATATGAATCAGAAAATGTAATAAAAATTTGGGGTGATTTTGGGGCCATTTTTTGAAAAAAACCATGGGCTATAGTACAGGGTATTTTTCAGAAATTTGCCTGTTTTTAAAAATGGCCGTAACTTGAAAAATTGAAGTCGGAATCGGCTCAAACTTGCTACACAGCATAAGTACATCAATATGTATCAGAAAATGTAATAAAAATTGGGGGTCATTTTTAGGCCATTTTTCGGAAAAAACCATGGGCTATAGTACAGGGATTTTTTCAGATTTTGGCCCATTTTTTAAAATGGCGGTAACTTTAAAAATTTAAGTTGGAATCGGCTCAAACTTGCTACACAGCATAAGTACATCAATATGTATCAGAAAATGTAATAAAAATTGGGGGTCATTTTTTGGCCATTTTTCGGAAAAAACCATGGGCTATAGTACAGGGATTTTTTCAGATTTTGGCCCATTTTTAAAAATGGCGGTAACTTTAAAAATTTAAGTCGGAATCGGCTCAAACTTGCTACACAGCATAAGTACATCAATATGTATCAGAAAATGTAATAAAAATTGGGGGTCATTTTTTGGCCATTTTTCGGAAAAAACCATGGGCTATAGTACAGGGATTTTTTCAGATTTTGGCCCATTTTTTAAAATGGCGGTAACTTTAAAAATTTAAGTCGGAATCGGCTCAAACTTGCTACACAGCATAAGGACATCAATATGTATCAGAAAATGTAATAAAAATTGGGGGTCATTTTTTGGCCATTTTTCGGGAAAAACCATGGGCTATAGTACAGGGATTTTTTCAGATTTTGGCCCATTTTTTAAAATGGCGGTAACTTTAAAAATTTAAGTTGGAATCGGCTCAAACTTGCTACACAGCATAAGTGCATCAATATGATCAGAAA